TATAAATCTTGTTATTCCTCATCAAAATGGCACCAGCACTTTAACGAACTACTCAGTAAACATTGTAGCAAAGAAGAGGAAATGATAGAGAGAGCATTTGAAGTTAATGATGATACACTATATGTACTTACATCAGCTAACATTGGATACATCATCAGCTCTATTGGAGGACAAGAGAGGATGGGAGGAGAATCAACTAAAGTAGGAGGAGGTTTAATAACTATTAATGAACTAGACACTCCACTGTTGCACTATTGTCAGTTACAGTCGGACTGTTATTGCCTAACTACTGATGGGAACTTTTATACATGTGGGCAGAACCTAGTTCCAGTTGCCCCTCCTCTTATGAGAAGAGTGAGACAAGTAGCTAATGGTTTGAGTCATGCCCTGGTACTAACAGAAACTGGTTTGGTCTACTCTTTGGGGCTAGGATCTCATGGTCAGCTCGGCTTAGGGGATTTAGAGTCTCGTTCATCTTTATCTCTAATTGAAGGGATTGCCGGAATAAAAATTAAAATGATATCGTGTGGAGGTTGGCACTGCCTTGTGGCCAGTGAATCAGGTGACATGTATTCCTGGGGATGGAACAGACACTCTCAATTGGGACATAGCCCCACCCACAGTATTGTACCAGACCCCACCCTAATAGAGGAAGGGGTAGGAGGGGATCAATGGGTTGTGTATGTGAGCTGTGGTTCACTTCACTCTGCTTGTATTACTAAAGAGAAAGGTTGTTATGTGTGGGGTTGGAATAGATATGGACAATTAGCTCAATCTTCCTCTTCTCTCATTTCTAATGTTATTCAAATGCTTTTAACTAGTTATCCTGTACATCATGTTGAATGCACACACTGGAGTACTATAGTATTATCATTTATTGAAGAACTATAACTTTCCCATTATGTTGGGCTGTATCTATAATTTAGCTGGTTTTGTAAGCCTGAGGTATTTTATCTAGTCCTTGCTGTACAAACTGGTCCATCCTTTAGGTTGGCCAAACTTACCACTGGCCTTCCCTCTCCCTCTATTGTCACAATCCTTACTGAAAGGTATCTAATTACAATAACCCATGACATCTTTCAAACTCAACTTAGATGAAACAGAGACATACTCAATTGGGACATAGCCAGATCATAGCCACATGTCTCAATGCTAAAAATAGCACAGGCTCTCATGCACTTTTTAGCAACTCAAGCTCATGCATATTTATCAGATAGCACACACTACCCAATGTCATAAAGTATATCAATTGCTTTGATGTTTGATACTATAAACCCATTATATCACTAAAATGAACAGTTGTTATGTATGGGGCTGGAATGGACATGAAAATTTGCTCAACCTTCCTCCTGTCTTATTTCTAATGTTATTCTAATGCTAGTAACAGACATCATGTTGAACTTGAATGCACACACTGGAGTACTATTATTATTATTATTATCATCACTATCATAATTTTTATTTATTGATAAGCTATGACTTTCTCATATCTTGGGCTGTATGTATTATGTGCCTGATCTATTTATCTATAGTCCTTTAGGTTGACCAGACAGACCACTGACCTTCTCTCTCTCTCTCTCTCTCCCTCCCTCTCTCTCTCTCTCTCTCTCTCTCTCTCTCTCTCTCTCTCTCTCTCTCTCTCTCTCTCTCTCTCTCTCTCTCCCTCTCTCTCTCCCTCTTCCTCTTCCTCTCTCTCTCTCTCTCTCTCTCTCCCTCTCCCTCTTCCTCTCTCTCTCTCTCTCTCTTTCTCCCTCTCCCTCTTCCTCTCTCTCTCTCTCTCTCTCCCTCTCTCTCAGTCTCTCTCTCTCTCTCTCTCTCGGCAATAGCTTATTAATTAATTCTCATGAGATATACATATCTGCATGTTTACTTTGGCATTTTTCAAAGATTTATCTCCAAATTCTTATGTTACAACAACAAAAATGTGAAAAATGAATGAGAAAATGAGCCTAAACATTGTATAATAATAATTGTCAAAATAATAAACTAATTTTCCTCATCAGCAGGAACAATAACATCAGTGACATGATCAAATTGATCATAATTGGGCCTTTGGTCATGACGCTTGTGAGCTATTATAATTGCAGTAACAGGATCATCAGGACGAATCTTACGAATTGCTCTACCAACAAATTGAGCAAATAACACTCTTGATTCAATAGCAACATTACGAACAATAGCAACAACACTCACTGCCTTATTATCATATCCTTCCCTAAGCTTATCAATGACTACTAATGTTCGTATTTTACCTTCTCCAAAATCTGACAGAATGCTGTTGTTAATTTTTTTACCTCCAACATACTTTTCACAACGATAATCCTTAGGCACCACAGCATTGTAACATTCACAAAAATCTTCAGCAGAGTTTGTTCCTCCAGCATCAATGGTTTGGGTCAATACCATTGCCTGGTGCTTCACTGTTGGATCGTCTTTATCATGTTGCTCAAGGAAGTGAACAATTTCTCTAGCCACATCCTAGTCAAAAGTACTATCTAATATATCAATTATTTTTTATTTTATCATACCTCGTTACTCTTAGTATCTTCATCATTCTTCCTGACAGAGGCAACATCATCAACCATTCCAAGATTTTCACTATCCTTAGCTCTTAAACTTTTATTTCTGTTAACAGTACGATCATTAGGTACTTCAATGAACTCGTTATTCCGTATTATTCCTCGAGCAACTGCTTTCGAATGAGTCAAGGTATAACACTCATCAATGCGCATGCATGGTTTTTCTCCATCATTTACTGGAAGACCTACCAAACTTTTTTCAATTTCTTCTAAAATATATTCTTTTTTTATGATTCGGTGTGGCTGTTAGAAAAATACGCTTTGTTCCTGAAAAGTGATCGACTATCGTCTTCCAGGTTTTTGCTGGATAATGATGAGCTTCATCAACAATGACAAGATCATAATCATCACGAGGGATATCTTCAATTCCAACTCGAGATTTACTACCAATCTGATGAGCTGTGACTATCAAAAGGTCATCATCCTTTGCATCCAATATTCTGTTAGTTGTAGTGATTTTCTGGGCATGTGGACGATAATCTCTTGCTTCATCTTTTTTAGCAATGCCTCTTTTCACAAGAAACATTTCCTCTTCCTCATGACTACGAAATGCATCAAATATTTGCTCTGAAATACGATTTGTAGGCGTTAGGACAAGAACACGACGAGACCCGAGCACATATGGAGCTAAAACAGCAACACCAGTTTTACCACAACCAGTGGGTAAAACAACAAGAGCAATGTTTGGCTTGTCTTTGTTTTCGAGCTGTTTTTTTTTATTGCTAAAAGCGCTTCTTGCTGGTGGCTGTAAATGTGGCCCCTCCAATTACCATCGGCTTGAATGAAATTCAGTAAACCCTCATGTTGAAGAATGAAAGGCGAACGGTCTGTTTTCACTGAACTAATCGCCATGATAAAGACTAGATGGTGACAATATCTATGATGATGGATGACCTACGATTAGCACGTAAGGTAATTGTGAGTGAATAAAGGAAATTACTGGGGAGGCAGGATACAAAGAGTGGACTGGCCGGCCAGTCTGGCGGCACCATAGATACTACATACACACACGGATATGAAACAGGATGCGCTCGATCCTTGGCGCCGGAATTAATGTATCGTGACGTTTCACTACACGTGTATAAGCATGGCACAAGCAAGATAGTGAAGAAATCCAGTTGAATTACTTACTAAAGCTCAGGTCTACGACTATAGAAGAGTTACAATCAATATTCTAGCTCTAAAAAGTGAAGATCTACTATTAAAAGAAAGAATGCACTGTGCTAAGTACTACAAAAATTATTATTAAAATTATCACTATATATAATGATTATTCTATTCATCAGTCACCCAATAGATTGATTATTATTGAGTCTTTTAACAAATTTTAACTATAAAAATAGCAATAAAAACATTGACAACAATTATTATAAGCACTTGCTGTATCACCATACA